CCTATAGAAGGGCACCTTCCATGGATAAAAGGCTCTTATTAGCTCGTAATAGGGTCAAGGATCACAATTAAACTCTAATACCATTTTGTTAGAAATATATGCCCTTGTTTGAGCCACATTATATTCCTAAGAATGCATTTTTGAATAGTGTATTAATGAAAAATGTGTGGTTAAAAAGTAAAGAAAAGTTTTGAATATGCGTGTAATATTATTTTATTGAAAAATGTACGGTTGAAATGATATTAAATCACTGTTTAAGAATGTATTTTTTTTGAAAAAATGTGGCTCAAACATAGCCATATCACTTCTTTTAGATCCAGATATGCATAATTAACCATTAAACAACAACACGCTAATTATTTATTGTTTCTAGTTGATTAAGGTTAAATACAATTTAAATGCTAAGTTAAACAATCACTAACATATAGAACAAAAGCATAAAAAGTAAATAACACTAGAAACTGGTGACAGAGGAAACCCCCTTAAAAAACCCTACACAAGGATCAAAAACCTGCAGACAAACCTTGCCAAAAAGATCTACTAGAAAAGTTAACTTACAATTGGTCTCGGACCACCCAACTTATTAATCAACAAAGAACTCTTTCATTGTACAACTTGCACTTCCTAGCAATTCTGGGTTACTTTGTCCTTCACGTGGATCACCAAGAACAAACTCGTTCCTGAGCACTAGAACTCCAAGCATCTCTTCTCCAACTTCAGAACTTTGAAGCGTGATGGTATTCTTTACTTATTTATTTATTTATTTAATTTTTTGGTGTTTGATTTTAAAATCTTCTTTGTTTTGATCTTTAGCTAAAGCAAGAGGTTAGGGAATATGAAATTGATCTCTGAAGGATATTCTCTGGACTAAATTTAAGGCTCGACCAAAAATATAATATATTTGGGATGAATTCTGAAGAATTGATCAAGTGGTTGGATCAAGAAATCTTTGGAATGTGTTTTGAATTTTCAATAATATGATCGCTGATATGGAATAATGATTCAACATACTTTGGGAAGGACTTATGCTTGGATATTTATAATATGAAGTGTTTGAGGTTGAATAGGATTGGAAAACAGCTTTAAAATCGCCAACATGACTTTCCTGGAAGTAACCGTTGCTTGAGCACTGCCCTCATGCCTAGAGAGAGGTGACTCCTCTGCTTGAGCACTAAGGTTGTGCTTAGCGAGTGCCAGTGCCTTGCTTTGAGCACTTGAGCACCAATCTGGCGTGCACAAGGGATAATGTACCTACTTTTTCTCCTTGGTCCATATTTGACATCTTCGACTCATTCATGAGCTATACTATCAATCCTTGACTATTTTGACTTCAATTACAACTCAATATCTCATTATTTTGAATACAAAAATTGCCAATTACAATTTTGGACCTAACAACTTAGAAACAGGCTCCAATTTATGGAGTAAGTTTCTTGATACCAATAGTTCAAATATATCCTTACCCTTTTGCTCTTTAGATGCTAACTTGAATGACAGAGAGAAAAGGAAAAATAAGTCCTGTCTTTTAAATGTAATTGGAGCTGCAATGTGCTGATTGAGTCTTATCCAGTCACTCCGATGTGATTAATCTATTCATTTTGCAGTCCTCACCTAATCAAAGAAATTTGATTTTATAGCTAATTTAAATTTTTACTCACATGAGATACTAGGGACACACTGATAACAAAGGATGTTAGGCATTTGAATTTGTACAGATCACCTCTATATAAGTAAGTTTGAATTTATTAACGCATAAATCTATATCATTAATGTAGATACTTAATGTAGCATAATTATTTTATTGAATTTTATATCCAAGGCAAGAGTGATTAAAAGTTAATTAATGATTCGACCTTATAAGCTGATGAAATGAATAGGATAGAACGAGTAAAAGAAAATATATGTGTGTTATATTCTTAATTACATTTTAATTTGTATCTGCCCTTATCTGTTATGGTATCTCCATTTTAATTATTGCAATAAATATTTGCTCTTTTTCTTAGTTGTTTCACAGAAGTCAAACCTAAACATTACTGATTACTCTTCAATGCAAATCCCTACCGGCTCCATATTCCTTCACTTATAAAGCTGAATTATGTGCTACACACACAAACACAGAAAATCACATCACTTAAAGTTTTTTGAAGTCTATTTCTCATTTATCTGAAGTAGGTGAGTTCTTAGCTTCTTTTATTTTTTAACTTAATTATTTGACAAACATGTGAATACATATATGTAAATTGAAACCAGATAGAAAATGAATGTGTATTTTGTATATTTACTGTTCATGTGTGAAACTTCTCACATTGGCAGACTATGTCTGACAGCAGAAAAACTGCGTAAAAAATGGATTCTGGCTATGGAGGAAGTGGATCAGGTAATGAACAGACCTCAAACTCTCAAAGGGGCAAGAAGCCATGCCGTCGACATACAACACAACAAATACAGCAGCTTGAAGCGTAAGATTAAAACACAGCACACTTGTTTTTCTCTTGGACGATTTATTTATTTATTTTTAATTGTTTTTCAAACAAAGAAATCCAAATTCAGATAAGGGTTACTATTTTGATGTTCTTTTTCAATCCAAATTCAGATAAGGGTTACTATTCTGATGTTCTTTTTCTATCCACTTTGAATTTCTAGTTATTAAAGAATATGTTAGTCTAGGTTAATTTTTCTAATAGTAAGAGATTTCATATTTTTGATAACAGGTAATGGTTACAACTTTCTTGATGCAGCAATTAATATTTGAACTATCTGATTGGGGCTGCATATTTACAGAACTAAATACTTTGATAAACTTTTTTAGATTTTCATTTTTAACGGTTTAAAATCCCTGAATTATTTTTTATTTATTCCATTGAAACCATGAATATTTTGCTCCTGATTGATGGAAATTGTGCAGATTCTTTAAGGAATGCCCATATCCAGATGAAAATCAGATGCGTCAATTGAGCAGGGAGCTAGCACTTGATCCCAAACAGATAAAGTTTTGGTTTCAAAATAAAAGAACTCAGGCGAAGGTGCTATATATATGGTCGATTTTTACATGTATGTTCCTGTCTCTCATTTCATTCTCAGTTGTGCTGGTATTTAACATTGAGAATTTATGTACTTTAGGCTCAACACGAGAGAGCAGAAAATATCACCCTTCGATCTGAAAATGAAAGAATTCAATGTGAGAATTTAGCAATGAAAGAGGCACTGAATAACGTCATCTGCCGGACTTGTGGTGGTCCACGTCTTGGCGAAGAAGAGAAGCAATGTAACATACAGAAATTGAGAATGGAAAATTACTTACTGAAAAAAGAGGTGATTGTTTTCTTTTCTTTAATCCAAATTTTTTACCTGCCCAAGGGAAAAGCTTACTTTTGTAGATAAGTCTTGAAAGAAGAGAAGTGAACTCATTTTTGGTACAATTTGCAGCACGAACGGAAGCTTAACTCATATTCCAGCTTCATGGGAAAATTACCAACTTCTTTGCAAGCTGCATCTCTTGGTGTTCGATCTCCATTGAATGTTCCTGGAAAGCAATTTTTTAGTCAAGGGATGGAAGGCCGTCCTATTGATCCTGAACAAATTTCATGGAGACTATCACTTCATCATTCCAATTGAAGGAAATACAGGAGACGGAGAAGTCAATCATTATTGGAACCAATATACAAGTTGGTCATTCAAGCAACTTCTATGACCACTTGATTTTTCATTAATTTCTGTAAGTGACATTGTATGACTAGTAGCGTGATATTCTTCACAAGTTAAGAAATAATATGGTGAAATAACAACAAAAAGTGTTTCATCAAGCATTCCTTTCTGGTGTAGTCCCTACGATGTGGTAAGATTATGGATGATTTCAAGAGTGGAAAACCTAACTATCCTCACGTGTCTCATGACACGTAGGTCCATAAAATAAAAAAATTAAAAATAAAATAAGCAAGCCACTTATTTTATAACCTTTGAGAAATGATCTAATGAACACTCGTGCTTAGCCTATATTAAGCACCAATGACTTGGCAAATTTTGCGAGAACTTCCCTATAAATTTTGGGCTTGTTTTGAAGCTCATATTAATTAAATGGCGAATTTTGGACTTGAAAAAAAGTATTACTGATAAGTTAGGCCTAAGTTGTTGTAGTTCAAAAGAAGTCACATTTTAATTAATGTTAATCAAGCAATTAACATTTTGGTAGCTGTGTATCACTTGATAATTTGAATTTGACATTTTGATTTTGATTTTTTAGAATTTGAATGAAGGATAGTTTGAATTAGTTTTATTAGTTTCCATTTGATTTTTTTTGCTATTCAACTAACCAATTTGATCTTTTAAAATATTTGAATTAGGATGAAATTTATTTGGGATTTGTTATATGTAATTTAATTATGTAATTAAAATTAAACTAGAATTTGGATTAAGTTGGTTTTTGGAATCATGATAAATCCTAAATTTAAAATATTTTGAGACTCTTCCATTTCCAAAGACCATATATTTTGTGTTAAAGTTATAATCAAACCCAAAATTTGTTAAAGCCCCATCCTAATACTAAAACAGAAAACCTATTCCTATTTAGAATCTACCATTTGAAAACCCATTTCATCAAACTTTCGATGAGACACGACTTTTTTCTAGATACACATAAAGGCTTCCTATTTTTAAATACATACAAAGAGAACACACAAGACAGAAAGTCTTTTCGCTTTAGATTTTGAAAAGAGTTCTGTTCGACATAGTCACTATCTTATCACCACAAACTAAGGTAGGATCCCTACACTAAATTGACCGTTATATGAATTTAATTGTCATTCACACATGTTATTTTTTTGAACTGCTCATTCCTATCTAACATTTTCAGAGTAATTGGAGATCCTGCGGTGGCTCTGCATGAATGAAATATTTTATTCAAGAGAAATTGATTCCTTATATTTTAGGTTGTCACCTTTATGTTTAATAACTCTTGTAGTGTCCAATGATTTGTAGTTTAAGTTCATATTTCGAGACGTAAATTTTAATGTTAGGATATATGTTTCCATGAATTTCCAGCATTCTTCCTTTGTGTTTAAAAATTCACTGTGATCTGTATATTTAGAATTTCAGCCAGTTTTTAATTGGAAATGATCCTTGATGAGTTTTCTATCATATGCAACTAAAAAAAAAAAGTCGATTGAAGTCTTGTGGAATTTATTATAGCATTTTTAGTAAACTGCGATGGTCAGATATGGAAAACACAGACCCAGCTGTTTAAAAAATAATTTCTTGCTTCAAACATAGTCGTTGAGATCTCAAATTTTTCTATGTTGCACTTGTATGAGATTTATACTCTCTGCTGAATTTTCATAAATTTTCGTTGATGTGTACTAGGTTAAATAATTTTTGCAACTCAATTCGCAATTGGAGAAAACTGTTTTCAACTTGCTGATTTTATCAAAACTCTTTCCAGATCATTTGTTCCATATTTTTTTCTAGTCCATATGTTAAAAATGGTTAAGACTTTACAATATTTATTAATTAATTCAAATTTAAAAACTTTTCTTAATCTCGTATTTTGAAGATTTACGTTGGTAATGCATCAGGTTATAAGAATTCGGGGCATTACAGTTTGATATTTTCTGTAGGCTTGCGAAAACATAAAGTTAGTTCTCAAAATTTTAGGAATAGTGTGTCGAGTAAATTATTTTAGTTAGCATCATGCTTGCCATTGCCATAAACCGCACATTCTGAGGTAAAGAAAGTTTTGAGAAAGTTATGTCCTGATACAGCATTTGGAATGTTTATGAGTGATTGTATATGTTTAAATTACAAGATCTTATGTTCAAAGAAGTTAAGTTTGAGAATTTAATTGGGATGTTTTAGAATTTTGCTATATATTTTTGAGAACGTCAATAAATTATGAATGTCTGTTTTAGTCCTCATATATCTACTTAAAAGCTATTTAGAAGCCACCTAATTGGACTTTAAATAACTAGTATGATAGATATGGCACGAATGATAAGAACTTGTAGAAAGATGATTGTCGACTCCAGGAGTTCTTTTGATTAATTATGACCTAATCTCTTCCATAGTTCGTTTGTTAGATGAATCTTGATCATTGAAAGTGAAATTGAAAGAAAGAAGGGAAAAATGACAAAAAGGGCAAAATCCAAAGTTCAGGACTAAATTGCATATATTCAGTAATTGATTCGGACATAATATGAAGGATTGGAGGATATTTGGACTCACTTGAATGCAACTGGAAGATGAAGAATTAAAAATATTTTAAGAAAGGATTCAAGATGAAGAAATGCTCAAAAGCGGTGGACAGCAAGTATAGCTCCTCGATGCTACGAAGGCACAAAAAAGAGCGGTGGACAACAAGTAAAGCACCTAAGCACTACGTAGAACTCGGATCTTGCAGCACTTATATTGAGAGAATTATGAGGCAACTGCAAGATTTCAAGATCATTGAAGATTTAACCATGATTTTTGGGCAAAGAAAAATGGCGCAATTGAAGATTGGTAAGGAACTATTGAAGAAATTCAAGATTTCAAGATTGATCTTTTTGTCAATTTATCAATAATTCGGGTGATGTTTTACAATTTACACATGAATTCTTGTAATTTTACATTGCAAGGCTAAAATTTTCATTGCAAGACATGGATGAACCCTTATTATGAATAGTACACTATAACAATTGTTGTAAAGTCCGATAGGAAATATAGATATACCATCATGCTTTGCATGATTTTTATAGATGTTGTAGCATTTTTAATGCATGCTTTCATGTTTGCATCTTTCATAAAAATATAAGAAGGTTACATGAGAAGATAGATTTAATTCAACTTGAGAGAGATTATTAATCAAAAAAGGAACACTGATTAACAAGAATGTGTACATATTTTCTTGTTATTGAATTGCATTAAAACAGATTAATAAGGAAGATTCGTAGTATTAGTAATCATTCCATTATGTGCTACAAAAGCTTTCATAAATGGCTCATTAGAATAATTAGGATAGTTAGTTATTAAATGAATTAATAAAAAATTGATAATCAAAACTTGGCCATTCTATTAGAGTTAATATTAATTGATCTTAGATTAAGAACATAGTCCTTGTGGAAACAATTTTATTCATCATTATATTTTTTGTTCGTGATATCGTACACTTGTGGATTTCGTACGATCAATATTCTTAGGAATCAACTGAAATTAGAAGGTGATCATGTTTCAGTATTCGTTTAGAATCAACGAAATTTCAATAGCATGTTTGTTCATATTTATTATTATCGCTTTTGACAAGCTACATCACTTGGTCAACCCAATGGATAGATCGTCGACGCAGCCACCTCTATGGCTTCCCATACCACTTGAGAATCTCTTTAACTTCTTCAAAGACGATTAAAAAGATGGCTGTGGTATAAATTTTTTAATACTTGGATAATATTGTCAATGCTTACAAGTATTTAAACAAGCATAGAAATATCTGAGAGAAATCTGTTTTCCCACTACCTGTATTTAAACAATAATAGAAATCTCTAAGGGAAATCTATTTTTCCTGGCAGTGGGATGTTTTATCCAATGGAAGTCCTGTTAGCAAGATTGCACACTCCTCAACTCGAACACATCCTGGAAATTCTCTCTCTATCATCCAGGTTATTTCCTTTCTATATATGACGCTATAAAGCGATTTAATATTTGTTGCTTAATTTATGGCCTTCTCAAATGCACATAATTGAGAATGGTTTTCTTACTACAATGGTATTTGAGATCTATGCAGCTATATTATCCAAGGAGAACAACATGTTGATGCTCCAAGAGTGTAGCATTGATTCCCAAGGAGCAATTATAGTCTATGCCCCCAATAGAGTTACAATCCATCACATCAGCTGTATGGTAAAGCCACAATGATAATTCATATACTTCCATCTTGATAAATAATCCCAATTGTGAGAAGGGTTGGCGCCTAGGCGCCAAGAGTGGGTGCCTAGGTGCCCAGTTTCTGCTAAAGCAGAAACGGGAGGCAGAGCTTGGATAAAATTTAACAAGTAAGAGGTTGTTCTTCTTGGGTGTAAATTCAAAGCTATTTTTCTTTCTTGGGGATTAACTTGAGGCTTGTTCAAGTAATCCAAATCCATTGTTCTTCATTTATATTAAAAATTATTTCTTCCCCAATTTCTTATCTTTTAAGTGGTTTGAGATTTTTCACATTGCAAGTTATCTTTCTTGGGCAATCTTGAGAGTGTTGTTTTCCCAACAATTTGGTATCAGAACTTCTTCTTAAATCAGGGTGGTTAAGCTTCGATTTTTGGTGAGTTGGCTTGAACTTTGTTATGCACACAAGGTGTTTGTGAAAATTTTCAAGTGAACTTTATTGGTTTACTTTCGGTAAACAAGTAGATAAATCATGTCTACTAGAGGAACGGTGAAGATTGGGAAGTATGAGATAGAGAAATTCAATGGGAAGAATGACTTCTCATATTGGAGAATGCAAAGGAGAAATTTGTTAATTTCTCAAAAGTTGCACAAGGCATTAGTGGGAAAGGAGAAGAAGCACATAGATATGTCTGACGAGGATTGGGAAGAACTAGATCTTGAGGCACGAGCATCTATCATTCTATGCCTTGAAAGAGATGTTGCTTTCTTGG